CAAAAAAATTAGCTGGGCATGGTGGCGCGTGCCTGTAATCCCAGCTAATTTTTTTGTAGTTTTAGTAGAGACGGGGTTTCACCATGTTGACCAGGATGGTCTCGATCTCTTGACCTCGTGATCCACCCGCCTCGGCCTCCCAAAGTGCTGGGATTACAGGCTTGAGCCACCGCGCCCGGCCACAATTAATAATAATTTCTAATTAATTGTTTATTAATAATATTTTTCAATCCTATCATGGGGCATATCATCCCCATCAGGACCTGGGAGGTGTCCACTGCTTGAGTGAGTGTGTGTAGGAGGTTGAAGGTCAGTGGCGCAGTGGAAAGGCCCCACGAATCAGCAGGTGGCTATGCAGCTGCTTCCTAACAGCAATGGTTTCAGAAATCGAATTGACTGTTTTCTATCACTAAGAGGTGACAGCTGTTTGGCAAAGAAATTGTGCGGGAAATTGAAATGTCACTCAAGCCATCAGATAAAACCCACCTCTAGAGGCAGACAATTCCAGGGGCTATGTTTCTTCCTTTTTTTACTTTTATCTTTTTCTTTTTCTTTCTTTTTTTTTTTTTTTTGAGATGGAGTTTTGCTGTTGTTGCCCAGGCTGGAGTGCAATGGCACGATCTTGGCTCACTGCAACCTCCGCCTCCCAGGTTCAAGCGATTCTCCTGCCTCAGCCTCCCGGGTAGCTGGGGTTACAGGTGCCCGCCCCCACACCCAACTAACTTTTTTGGTGTTTTTAGTAGAGACAAGGTTTCACCACATTGGCCAGGCTGGTCTCAAACTCCTGACCTCGTGATCTACCCGCCAGGGCTAGGTTTCTTACGCCAATCAAGAACTTTCTCCCTGTGCTCAAAATTCTATGCGCTGGGGTCTCATTAAATAACATGGCCAATTCAGGGGCTGAAATAGAACACAACTCAGCTCCCCTACACCAGAGACTCGCAGGATAGACTCATGCTGTCTTTGCCGCCAGTGAGAGCGGTGGAGCTGCCTGTGCATGTGCAGTCCTGAGAGCCAGATGCAAGCCCGAGGAGGGGCGAGGCTGTGGCCCCCGCTGCTCACAAAGCCCTCCTGCTTGTCTCATGTCACCACCCACCTCCCTCCTACCACTTCCTCCCAAGATTAGAACACCTGCGTAGGTGGGTGATTCCCTGTCGATGTGCCTGGAAGAGAAATCAAACATTCTGATGGTGATGGCAGCTCTGCGGTTTCGCTCTAACTGGAGCACAGCTGTCATTCACAAGGTACCTTGTCACATAATGTCTCTATTGTCCCCAGATCTTTGCAGTTGAAGCAGGTATTTCTCCCCATTCTGCCGATGCAGAAGTTCAAGAAATTAAATGGCTTAGTTGAGGCACCAAGGGGGAAGGAGAGCAAAGACACAGAGGCTGCCGCTGGGCTCCCGGTTCTGGCCCCTCCACATCCCAGTGTCTCCACAGAGACAGGGAGAATCAGGCTATAACCTGGGTAGGGAAGAATGGATGCAAGAAGGAGGAATGTGATCAATTCCTCTTCTCAGGTAGTATTCATTCCAACATTCTCAATGTGTCACAGGCACCAGAAAATGCCGCAACATGAAAAGTGACAACCAGAGCTTCTCAGGGGACCCCCCTCCAGCCTTCATCCTTCTGGGTGTGTCTGACCGGCCGTGGCTGGAGCTCCCGCTCTTCGTGGTCCTCCTGCTGTCCTACGTGCTGGCCATGTTGGGGAACGTCGCCATCATCCTGGCATCCCGGCTGGATCCTCAGCTCCACAGCCCCATGTACGTCTTCCTCAGCCACCTGTCCTTCCTGGACCTCTGCTACACCACCACCACCGTCCCTCAGATGCTGGTCAACATGGGCAGTTCCAAGAAGACCATCAGCTATGGAGGCTGCACGGTGCAGTACGCAGTCTTCCACTGGCTGGGATGCACGGAATGCGTCGTCCTGGCCGCCATGGCCCTGGACCGCTACGTGGCCATCTGCGAGCCCCTCCGCTACGCCGTCCTCATGCACCGTGCTCTCTGTCAGCAGCTTGTGGCTCTGGCCTGGCTCAGTGGCTTCGGAAACTCCTTGGTGCAGGTGGTCCTGACCGTGCAGTTGCCATTCTGTGGGCGGCAGGTGCTGAACAACTTTTTCTGCGAGGTGCCGGCCATGATCAAGCTGTCGTGCGCCGACACCACTGTGAACGACGCCACGATGGCTGTGCTGGTGGCCTTCTTTGTGTTGGTGCCCCTGGTTCTCATCCTTCTCTCCTATGGCTTTATTGCCCGCACAGTGCTCAGGATCCAGTCCTCCAAGGGACAACGCAAGGCCTTTGGGACCTGTTCCTCCCACCTGATGGTCGTCTCCCTCTTCTACCTACCTGCCATTTACATGTATCTGCAGCCCCCTTCCAGCTACTCCCAAGAGCAGGGCAAATTTATTTCTCTCTTCTATTCCATGATCACCCCGACTCTCAATCCCTTCATCTACACCCTGAGGAATAGAGACGTGAAGGGAGCTCTGAGGAGACTCCTGGCCAGGATCTGGAGCCTCTGCGGATGGTGAGGACCTGAGAAGTGGCATCTCCATCAACTGAGGAACACTGGACACGCCTACTGTGTGCTCAGAGCATCTTTCACTTAAGGAGCTAATACCCAGAAAGCTCAAAGCCTGTCCCCAAACATCTCACTTCCCGTCATAATGCCCCAAATCCCACATCTACAAATAAAGTCCATTTTAAAAGTGTAATTCTAAGAGGCCATATGTTTTCAAGAGTTGTTTAAATAGACTTCAATATTTGTTGAATTATTTAACTTCCAGTTTCCTGATTCTTTTCTCTTTTCCTCTTCCTATATTTCTTTTATTTTCTCCCCATTTGTTTTTCAAGTTTCTCTCTCTTTTCTATTACTCTTAAGTATACACGAGATGAAGCTGAAATATAATCTTATTTTACTTATAATAAATATGTACTCTTCTCCATATACTTAAATTTCCACAAATTTTATATGACTTTTTCAAACAATCCCAAGAATGAAGTCGATTGCTATCTCTTTCCTGTGATTTTGGACTTTTTTTCTGTAGTTCAAATTTTCTTCTATAGAAAGGTTTTCCATCAAATGTAAACTAGTACAACCACTAAGGAAAATAGTGTGGAGATTCCTTAAAGAACTAAAAGTAGATCTACCATTTGATCCAGCAATCCCACTACTGGGTATCTACCCAGAGGAAAAGAAGTTATTATATGAAAAAGATACTTACTCATGCATGTTTACAGCAGCACATTTTGCAATTGGAAAAATATGGAACCAGCCCAAATTCCCATCAATCAACAAGCAGATAAAGAAAATGTGATACATACATACATATATATATATATATATATATATATATATATAT